ATTCTTGGGGCAGCAGAGTCCAGGAAGCTTTTTTTTTTTCGCTTTGGCAGTTCGGACGGCGGCAGTCCAAGTGATTTTTTTTTTTTTGGGACAGCAAAAATGGTAGAGCTGACCAACTGGCACTCTGCTCTGAATATGGAAAGTGCTAAGTGCTCTGGAACAACAGGCCCTGAGTGCCTCCAGCTGGGCACCCACAACCAGAGGACACTTCTGACCATTTTGACTTTAATCACAGTTTCCAATCTGCAATCTGGAGATTATGATGCCATGTCCCCTGCCACAGGTGCTGTGAAGATACATTTATTAATGTTTGTGAAGCACTCAGATATGTCATGGGAAACACCCAGGAAGAAATTAATAATTTTGTATTCAGTGCAGGGTTTGGATTTGAATGATATAAAGCAATACTGAATAGCTACCAACTTGCTGTATGGACAACTTTCAATCTGGCATTTAAGATCTTTTGAGTGTTTGATTTTATAAACATAATGTTATTTTAATCTATTATTTATTATTTCTTTATTGTCTGATCATCTGCCATGTAAAATCAATAGCAATATCAAAGTCCCTAGTGGCGTCTCTGGCCTTTTTAGAAGGGTCAAAACTTTGCTTGGGGTAGGAGGTTTGGTGGGGACAAGACAGAGGTTTTGGCAATAAAAGAAGTGTTCAGCATGTGGTGGAAAGGCTTTCCCAAACAGGAAGGCTTGGCAACACTTCCTAAAGATGGTCAGACTCTGGATTCAACTGAGCTCCTATAGAAGTTCCTAGATTGCCTACACAGAAAATGTTTTATCCCCCGTTCTCACCTGCTTCCTCCTAGGCTTAGTGACCTGCACTATCCCAGAGGGCTGCAGCTGTGTGGTGGTTCAGAGATTGAAACTTCAGCCTTTGACATACTTTTGAAAATGTCAGGACCTTAAAGTGGCATCAGGAGCTGACTGGAAGGCAGTGGAGGCACTTGAGCACAGGCCTGATGTGCTCACAGCAGCCTGGGCCTCAGAGCAGGCAGGCAGCTGCATTTGGTACCAGCTGGAATCTATGCATATTCAGCCTCAGATACAGGGATTTGCACTAATCAAGCCTGGAGTTGGCAAATACAGGGTTCACTGCGGCCAGTTACCTGTCTGGGGGGAAGGTAGGAAGTTTCCTAGCAAGTTAACGGTGAAAGGTGGCATTTTTGGAAACTTATACCTAAATTCTTTACCATCCTTTGGCAAGCCTAGCCAAAGTCACCACCTGGAATTGAAGCTAGAAGGAAAGAAGAAGTTATCAAAGGATGGCGGTAACATACCTCTTGCAGGGTGGAATGGGGCCAGTGTGCAGTGTCTCTGACACTTATTCCTTGATCTTGTGTATAAAAAAAGAGGCAGTGCCAGATTAAGGAATAAGATAACTAAGATACAGTTTAGGACCTCACAATATGAAGGGCCTCTAAAAAAGAAAAAACTGACTCCATTTCAAATTTTATCAAATTCGGTTGATAAATAAAGGAGATATGGGAAAAAGAAGTTTCTCTCTAAATATAGACATTTTTGTTCAAATATGACAAAAGTATACACATCTGGCTACACAAATACCCTTACCCTTCACTAATTGTTCATTATTGACAGGTGAGAGGCCAGGGCTGAGAAAAAAAGGATAATTGCACTAGTAAAATTAGGATTTCTATGAGTAAGTCTGCTATCAGTCACCTAAGGCAGCATTTTGATGGCCAGCTGCTACTGGTAAAATTCTGACTGTGCTTTCAGAATTTATTTAAATAAATAAATAATCTCACTGCTGATAAAATCGTGAAAAAATGTGAAGTGGGAGATGGCAGTGTCATGAAGCAATCCTGCCAAGCTCATACTTGCATGGGACTTGTCCTAGGAATGACATCAGGTATAGCATCCCCCTTGGCTGGTAATAGCCAGAAGGCTGCCATCTTTTGTTTACGGTCCAGCATGCTCAGTCGTATATTATCTTCACTCCTGTTTGTCTTTGTTTTCTTAAGTGTTAGTGTGGCCTTTCTTCTTTTGATCTGTACTTACATAGAATTGTGTATTTTAGTGTGCACGCCGCTTTCTGCTTCATGAGTTATCCATGCTTCACATGATTGAGTTTGCAGGTGATCGTTTTATGGACTTGGGTCGAGTGGTTCTTGAAGAGGATACATTTGTGTTGGCTTCCCTCTGTCAATTTCAGGAACCTTCACTGTATTTTTATAGTATGGCAAAAGAAAAATCCCAACAATTCATTGTTTCATAGTGAAAATTAATTCTGAATAAACATTTGTAAATATATATTATATATAGTCTGGATAAACTTTATGTTTTCCTAACAAAATTAATCAAATGTTTTTTCATTTATTCATATGAAAAGGATAATTTTCCTTATTCATTGTGTAAAAAAATTATATATCCTCTCTTGTTTTCCTGTGAGAACATAGACAAAATAGCACTAACTTTCACAGAAGTATCCTGGTAAAATAACACAAGTTTTTGGCATATATATATATTAATACAAATATTATTTGTTGTTAAATAGATATATAAATCTCAATATTTATAATATACAATTAAATTTTTACTGGTTTCAATAAAAACTTTCTGCTACTAATTTTAGTACCAATATTAGGTAATTCAGCATAACCTTCTATAAAAACAAAACAAATAAATTTATTGGAAAAATACAACCCGCATACAATTTTCTGATGGTTTGCTTATTACCTGGGTGTAATTCATATCAATATAATTAATAGTTGAGCTTTAAGCTTGTGGGTTATCCACATCCTATATCCTCTATTGCCTCTTGTATCCTCTATTGACATCTTCTATCCTCTTAAGACTCTCATTGCATATTCAGACAAGGAATTCCACAATTTAGATGCCCCAACAGAGAAGAAAAATTTCCTGAGAACTCTTCTAGTAAATTTTATTATTTACTGTATTGTTTTTATTTTGTATTTTTATATTGCATTGTTTACTTCCACTTTACTTACATATGCACATTCAATGTCTTTTCTGTGAAAATAATACATACTTTTTTTTATGGTATGGGGCTTCTTTCACTTGATAGCTTCGGGCCTCAGAATGTCATAATCCAGCCCTGAAAAGAGGCCAACATTTTCCAAAGTGCCTGTGAATTTTGGGTGCTCCAGCGTTTTTGCACCTAAATTCAGACACGGGAGTCAGATTATCAGAGGAGAAAATATTATAAATCACAATTCAATTAACGTACAAAGTCTGAAATCCTGGCCTGTCACCTTAGACATTTGTCAAAGCAAATGTTGCCCAAGAAATAGGGCCAAATTTTGCCATCATTTGCTCCGGATTTATACTTCACTAACTCCAATGGCCGCAACTGAGTTAGCATGGATTTATACTGGTGAGAGAGAGTAGGACATGGCACCAAATACTTTCAATGGTTGATAGTCATCAATAAAAGTGAATAATAACACAATAATAAAATAAATAACAAACACGTGATAATGTCAATAGTAAGTCCATGATAATTAATGAATTGACTATAAATCTATAATATAATATTATCATGAGAATAATCATTCATTGGTGATCCTTCGAATATTTTAATTATAATAATGTGTAATTATTCCCCATAAATCTCTGTGGGGTAGCAGGAGTCTATTATAAGTCCATAAAGGTGCTGTAGCATCTTGATTGCCAATGAGCAGGCAGGTTTTTTCATTCACATAGGGGAAGGAACTGATCATAGTCATGCATAGTTGGGTAATGGGGTCTGTCACAATGAGCACCCCTCATTTGCATGCCAGCCAATATATAAGAGGGCAGCAGGTGCGGTAGGAACTGAAATGAGCTGAGCCGTCCCAGAGTGGAGCCATGGCAGGTGCCCAGGCAGGAAGGAAGAAGGTGGCTCAGGCTCAGAGGAGAAAGTGGCCCTTATGCAGAAGGATGCATCCAAAGCCCAAGTGGAGGATGCTCCAGCCTCAGGAAGGGCAGCAGGAGACGACCAGAGCCAGCAAGGAGCAGCCTGGTGAAGAAATGCTCCCACTCCCTGTATGTCTCCAGAATCCTGTGCCAGCTGCACCAGGGCAAGGTGCGCATGTCAGGCAAAGCCAGAAAGCTGATGAAATCCTTTGTGAGTGACCTCTACAGCTGGGTGTCCACAGAGGCCGAGCAGCTGAGGCTGAACAGCCATCTCCCCACCTTTGGGTCGTCGCAGCTCCAAGCCACCCTGGAGCTGGTGATGCCTGAGCAGCTGGCCAAGCACTCCGCCATTCCCACCTTCAGGCGTTCCTCCTAGAGGCACATCCTTCCCCTTCTCCCTGTGCGACATCCTGGCTGGGAAGAGAGTGAGAACAAGAGGGGAGAAGAGAGAGGAGCAAATCCCAGCCTGAGAGAGATCTTGTCACCTGTTCGCCTGGCTGAAGAGCTGACCTTGCCCTGAAATCTGCATAGCTGCTCCTTGCCCAGGGGACAACTTTGCACACAATTCCTCAGACATGAGCGAGTCTAGAGGCTGAATTAAAGAAGAGAGACATTTAATCTGGGAAAACAAGATCCTGAATGGGAGAGAAGTTTCCTCATTTAGAAGAAGAAATCAGTGTGATCCAACTGAATCAGCCAGAAACTTTTGTGTGACATCAACAACAGGGGAAGGAGCAGAGATTTTAACTGGGTAGATTGTATACGAAGGGCCATATCCTAATGCAAAGTATTTAACACCATGCAGTAGCAATAAATCAGGCCATAGAGCAACAATATTTTGCTGTTGCATGTTTCATTTATCTCTGGGAATATGATGGGGTGAATTCTGCTTTGGGATTTCATTTAAAATGCTTGGGAATCAGAGTTGTGGGTTTCTGCTACCTTTTGTAATAGCTTTTCCTTGTAAAATAAAAGAACAATCATTCAGAGGCATAAGGGCTGAAACCTCCTAAAGGGCTTTTACCACAGAGATCTCTCGCTGTCCTAATCAGGGAGTGTTAGGCTTTTAAAACGCCAGCTCCTGTTCATGAAGCTGTAGAAGCTGTTTAAATTCCTACAGAGGTATTAAGCTAGTTTAGAATTAGCTAACAAAAGTGGAGGCTGTGGAGTGTCTGCAGATGGTCCTGAAGGGGGTGAGGGTGGGAAGCTGAATGGGGCTGAGCCAGAATGACACCAACACCTGCAAAGCTACAGATCTTACCTTGCCACTAAATTCCTGCAAAAGGCTGCACTGAACCTGTCAGATCACAGGCTTTGTTACCCAGCTCGGTTGCATGCCATGGTATCACACTGGCTGAGCTACAGGGCAGTGAGGTTGGAAAGCTCATTGCAGGGCCGTGATATCATGGCATGCAGGTAAAAATATCCCAGCCCTGTGGCAGAGCTGGCATCGTGCAGGCCTGTTACACTGCTCTACAGCCAAAATGCTTCTGAAATAAATGTAGTCAAACTTTACTAATTCTGGGTCACT